GGAAATGACAATATAACATGATTAAAAGTTCCAAAAGTTAGATTTTTAATTATATGGAACCTTTACAAAAACTGTTCAATTAACTTCTCAACTCCCTCCTCAATCTTGCATTTTTTAGCTATAACACCCTCTTTGGTTCCAGAATGCTATAAAGTCTGACAACTGGAAGGAATTGGACTGACTCCGATGGAATGGGCGGGGCTGATTCTGGAATGGGCGGGGCTGACTCTGGTGCAGCTCCACCTTCTGGTGCAGCTCCGCCTTTGTGGTTCTGCAGCGAGCACCACTTGATTTTGTTTGGCTTCAATTTAGAAAATCCACACAAATCTGGCTGATACTGACTGATAAGTGAGGGAGGTCTAGTTATTACATCAGAATTTCAAATGTACTTTACATTTTATGTCCAGTTATAGCAGCGGTCCTCGCTCCTGGTCCTGGAGAGTCGGTATCCATCGTGTTTTCGTTTTAACACACCTAATCTCCATCAGCAGGTGATTAACAGGCTTCTGAACAGCTTGATGACCTGCTGCACAGGTGACTCAGCCACTGAATTAGGAGTGTTGGAGTAAAGAAACAAGGAAAACATGCTGGACACCGACTCTCCAGGACCTGGAGTGAGTACCAATGAATTATAGAGTGAAGCCACAAGAGTTTTAAAATTTAAATACACACACTTTTATTTTGAAAGCCAGTCATACGTAAGGATCCCATAACACTTTGTTTGTGCACACATCAAAATGATGGGATGGATGGCTTGACTGTTATTCTCAAAGGGGAGGCAGGGCTTAAAATCAGTCAGGTAGATATTAAATCTTACTTGCTGCTGTTGCCTATTTGTTTCCGTTTTGTATTCATGACATCATCCAAAAGAAAAAAAAAATCACATTTTTTAAATAAAGTTTTGTTTGTCCAATGAAAACAGAAACAATGATCCAGAATATCTCCAGGTAGCATTGGACCACGTTTAGCCCACAAATGTTCAGAGACTGCTAAACCAGAATGATGTTTGCAAAAGTGTTTCTAAAATGTCTTAAAAGGAGCTCTGGAGGACGTGCATGCCCTAATAAGCCACAAGTGTTCTGTTGAGCCATACTATGTTGTTAGAAATACACAAAATATTGCTGTTTATTTATAAATTTATAATAGTACAGTTTTTTACATACGTAGGACGTAGGGCTGGGCGATATGGCAAAAATAGAATATCACGATTTTTCCAATATTTTATCACGATTTCGATTTTATCACGATTTTTTATCCATGAATAGCATAACTTCTATTGCATATTAAAGAAGAGAAACATTGAATAAATAAACATTTATTTATATTAGGGATAATAAGCACAGTGCTAACACACTTATATTTTAACTCACACAAGAGATGATAAAAGCCCTGAGAGAAACAATTACAAAAATCAGTTTTTCTCGTTTTTCAAGTAACTTAACATAAATTAAAATGGTAAACATATTTAAAGTGCAAACATGTCAATTGCAAACGTATTGTGCAAACATTAACTTGTTCAAAATACTATGTAGCTCCCAGTTGCTCATGTAGTGGATAGTTAAGCTCAAATACGGCTCTGATGTGCGGCTGGACCAGAGATCGCTTGTGGTAGCAGGGGGGGGGGGGGTACTGTCATGATCCGCCCCGGCCTCCCTGACTGTGTCCCTCCTGCCTTGATTAACCTTATTGTTCTCACCTGTCCCTCGTTACTCTGCCCATGTGTTCCTGATTTCCCTGTATTTATACCTCCCTCCTTGCTCCTGTCTTCGTCGGATTGTTGTTTGTTCATGTGTGTTTTGTCCTGTGTCTCCCATTCTACAATTAAACAATTTCTATTTTTCATCCGTGCCTGCTCTTCTGCCTCCTGAACCCTCCACCACACTTGGTCCGCCATCTCCACCCTTCACATCATGACACTGTCACGCTGTTCCATCGTCTGCTGTCTCTGTCGTAAGGAGTGAGTTTTGTGAGTGTTTGTTAGCGTTTGCTGCCTGGAAGAAGCACTAGCCGCTGCAGCCGCAGGCTTTTTAGCTTTAGCTGCCAGCTGGCTCTCATTGTCTTGTTTGGGATGCTTTCTTTTCAAGTGATTAAACAAGTTTGTGGTGTTGCCATCACTTGCCTTGACTCTCTCCTTGCAAACTTTGCAAATGACGTTTCGCTGCTCTTTGTCATCTGGTGAAAAACCGAACCAGTTCCATATAATGGACGAGGCGTTCCTCTTCGGAACAAAACCTCGTTGTCGCTCAGCCGCGGCCGAAGCCATGTTTGTTCACACACAGGTGAAAACAAGCGGGGCACTAATATATTACTATGACTCACTCTGATTGGTTAAGGGTCAAATAAAGGTGTGTCATTCGCCGGAGGTAAGTTCCCTTTTCATTCAGAGGCAGAATTTCAACAGCAGAGCTGTGAATCGTGATAAAAAGGTCTCTCAAACATGACAGACCGTCAAATGTGTAGACCGTAAAACGGTCTAAAATCGTCATATCGCCCAGCCCTAGTAGGACGCCATGTTTTCCGCACGCAATGCACTCTGGGGGCGATGACGTATATTGGTTGCACTTGGAAGAATAGCTATTGATGCTAGTGATTGTTTACGCGCTCACCGTATTAATAATTAAGTAAAATGCCGCACTGAGCTGATTTTGGATGTAATTTCCAGTCAGGGGGCAACAAGGGGAGTGATGTGAGTTTGCAAGCTTTCCCACTGGCAATAAGTGGAGAAAGCAGTGGGAAGATGTCTGTGGACACCGGACACAACTTCCCAAAGATCCGCATCTGTGTTCCCAACATTTTTCTCCTGATGCGTTTGAGGCTTATAGTCGACCACGACTACTTAAAGAGCTCACCGAAGCAGCTGGGTATAAGAGAAGGTGGAAACTAAATTCTTTACCAACCATTTTCTCACACAAGGAGCCTAAACGCACTCGGAGAGACGAGAGACACTGGACGCTCTCCTGAGCCGACAACCCGCTCCTGCAGCTGCCGCTTCTGTCACGTTCAGCGAATCATCGGACACGCCACTCGTCATGGATGAAGCTGAACATTCACCTCTCCCGTCAGTAAAACAAGCAGCAAGTGTAGCAACACAGTGTTCTCCACATAAATAATATCTGCAACAATGATTAAAGTGGTTTCACTGAATGTCCTGATCATCTATGAAGCACACGACAGCCCTGGATGCTAATATTCTCCTAAATCATTCATGATTGAATAAGTTTGATCACACGATAGCTTACCGTTAACTTCTGCTGACACAAATGTGAGCACTCTCCCTCTCGGTTACCATGGAGATGACATGTTTATGTTGCTGAACAGTCGCTACAGAAAGCCGGCCGGTGCAACCGAGGTACAACCATATGACGTCCCTACCCAGAGTGCATTGTGACACTGACAACAATGGCGACCTACGAGTGAAACAATTTTTTTTTTTACAAATTTTATAAAAATGAAGACATCAAAAAGGTGTTTTACACCATTTTAATATAACTGATACTAACATTTATCTTTTAAGAACCAGAAGGTTTTGTAACCTGGGTTCCTTCTAACAACGTTCTCAGTTTCCGTACACGAATCTCAAAGCCTCGTCACAGAAACACAACAGACTGTTTGAATCAGGGTAGCACTGCCGCCACGGTGTGTCCTTTCAATGCTCCGGCATGGCGAGGCAAGAATTTAGTGCTATTTGTACCACCAAGCTTTATAATTATATTACCACAATGTTGGACCTTTGAATGATGATCATTCCTTGGAGCAACAGATGGTGATGTCATGATTACGTGTGGAACTCCGGCTGAGCAAAAGCATTAAGAGGCAAAGCAGCTGCAGTGTTTTTTGAAATAAGCTAAAAGTTGGAGAACTATGAGACAACTTTGAGATAAGATGGAGAAAAAAGTCACAAACTGAGACATCTTACTTTGAAACTTTTGATTTCCTGTGAATTATTGCAAATAATTCCAGGTCAGGTCTCTGATGATGAAGGGATGCTAATTTCAGCGGCACCATAAATAAATATGATACAATATATATAAAAATAATAAATAAGTAGTAGTAGTTTAGTCCCCACAGCTGATGGGTGCATTCATCACAACAGAAAAAAGATCAGCGGTGAAGACAGAAAACCAAAATCAGCAGGAAGGACAAACACATCGACCCCGTCCTCAGGCCCAGAGCTTCTTACTTCCTGTCAGGAAAACTTGTTTCATTCATCCATTATTAATTTCTGACCTGGTTGACCAAACAGAATGAGCTAACTGGCCAGATACGGCCCCCGGACCAGCAGTTGACGATCAGTAGTTTATTACTCTACTTTAACCACGTTTAAACGTTCTCTACAACTACTCTAACTGGTTAGTAAATGGACCAGGTTTAGCGTTTGCTCTTGTTGAAATGAGAATATAATCTCATTTAATTAATGTTTGAGCCAAAACATAAATGAAATGAAGGGTTATGGTGAGCTCGACTGGTTATTTATGAAATGAAACACGTGCTGTTATTCAGCCTGATCAGACCACTGACAGAGGACATAATTACTCCCTGTTAACTCGTTGACCTCTAACCTCTTGATGAAATGCTTTGGGACTCATTGATAGTTTTCTGAACTGGCTCACCCTGGCGACCTGATCTGAACCACTCTGACCCGACGGAGGAAAATCTTTTCATTTAGCGTCATCACTTTATTTTATTTTCCTTCCCAGTAAAAAGATCAAACCGCTTTCGTGTACTAAACCCAGACTGCCATAAACCAAAGGAGCATGAATTAATGATCCAGCTTTTCTCCTTCTGTGCCATCTTAACCTACTTTAGCAGTACTTTGGGTTTGGCTGGTTACTTGTTGACAGGCCTGATGTTTCGGTTCATACATTATACATGTGGAAATGCTGCATCAGGCTTATATACAATATGGCATCCAGTTCAGCATCACAGCGCTGCACCAGGAGAAAACATCCCAAATATTTCCTGACACAAACCACACCAGGGTGATATTCCAGCATCCTTACCTTGTGGGTTTCCACGGAAACAGATGCCAGCAGTCAGCAGGCTGAGACGTCTCTGCAGAGCTTCAACCCGGCATTCCTCGTCTGCATCACTTTTAGAAAGAAGCCGAGGAGCAGTGAACAGAGAAGAGCCACGACTCCACGATGTGGGTCATTGCAGCTGGAGCCATCCTGGGGGGGGGCACAGGCCTGCTCAGATCCCAACATCCAGCCTCAGCCGCATCCTTCGTCTGGTCCAGATGTGCTGTATTCCAACCAAACTTACATCCACGAGGTTTTCACATCTGAACCTGATCAGATGCTGCAGGAATCCTCGTCTGCATGAAGCACTGGCTCCTCAGCGAGACGCTGCCTCCACTCCTCCCCCCTGCCTAATTCACTGCCTTATCGCTCTATTTCTGTCCTTCTGATGCTCGGCCATGCTTCTACGTCACTGCTTCCTCTCCGATTCTCAGCTGTGTCGGTGCCGCGCTCGGCTTTTGCCCACAGGATGTTGAACATGTGTTCAGGGTGGGGGTTGGGCACCGCTGACTTCATAGGTGGCACGCTGATAGGTCAGGGAGGACGGCGCTGGGCACACGGAGCTCTGTGCCGTTTATCTGGCAGTTCATTTAATGATAAAATCTGCTTGTTTGCTGCAGTGATTGTGACTGGGAGAAATGCTAAAAAACGAAAGGGAAGATTTCTGAATGTGATCTGAATTTCAAGAATTTCCTCTGAATGTGCAGCCTTGCAGAAATGGCTAACATAATAAGCAGAGCAGGCCTGTTTATTCTGCTGCTTCATCCCACAAAAATTACATTTCTCTACAGCAGCAGAGGAAAAAGGAAGATGTGGGAGTGTGTGTACGGAAAAATAGACAAACACTAAAAGGGGGAGGGAGAGGAGAGGGAGCAGCAAGAGAGAAAGAAGAGAGAGAGGAGAGCTTTGGAATATTTATAGAAAACTGAAGGACAGAAATAAGCTGCTACAAACACAAACATTCATGATTGAGCAGCTGGATGAAGACGCTCCAGCAGAACACGTATCCATCCCAAAACAGGCTCAAGTGTCTCCTAATGACAGTCATCTGCAACGAGAGCATTCAAGTTAACGAGCTTTCATAAGAGCTGAGTCACATAATGAATTAATGAGAATTTCTATTTTATTTTTATTACCCAACTTAACTAGTTGACAAATGTCCAAATAATCCCTGCACACGAGCACAGAATGGGGAAAAAATCCATGATTTTATGCTAAACACGTGACTTCATGTGCAAATTAAAGTAAATAAAGCATGTTTGTGGGGAAGAGAATACCCCTGGGCTAAAGCTATGACCTAGATTGATGCTCCCAAGCCCAGCGGGCTGAGTGTATGAGATCCAACTACGGAGGAGGAAGTGCACGTGTGTCTACATGCAGGACGTGTGTGTGTGTGTGTGTGTGCATGGATCCAGAAAGTGAAGCTAAATGGCTGCGCTGCTTATGTGACTCAAGAGTCTCAACTGGATGGCTCACAGAGAGCTGAATGGTCACGCAGCGATATAGACATGCACACACACACACACACACACACACACACACACACACACACACACACACACACACACACACACACACACACACCTCCACTTCTGATGCAGAATTAAATTCAGCCGCTGATGCAAAAAAAAAAAAAAAGATTTTTTTACACCACCTCTATTAAGGATTAGCAGATTAACACCCAGAACGTGGGAGATTAAAAGGTTGGTGGGTCTGAAAAAAAAATTGGGTTGAAACAATGATAACATGGTGGCATCATAAAGGCTCACGTAGTCTTCAGTTGGTTTTAAAAGGGAAATAAACTAATTAGTGTAAAATCATCAAAAATCAAAACTAGAAATGGTAAAAAAAATTTAAAAAAAACTTCATTTTGGAGCATACTGTCACGATTCAAAGATGGTAGGACCCAAAATACAGTAATACAGGATGACACGAAGCAGAAGTTGAATAAATAAACTTCCTTTATTTTAAGGTGAAACAAAAACAAAAGTAAATCCAAAGGTGGGAGGCCAAAATCCAGGTAACGATCTGGAAATCCAAAAACTCTAATAATCCAAAGCGAGATGAGACTGACAGAATTACAAAGAATGGACCGACACCAAACAGAGACAAGACAGGGCTTAAATACACAGGGAGAACAATTAAGGAAACAGGAAGCAGGTGTGTGGAGTGAGGGCTGGAGGGAAGGCAGGTGACACAAATGACCTAAATGGGGAAACAGAACCAGTGAAGGGCAGATAAACTTAAACCTAAAACTAAACCTGACCCCGGGTTTCCACGGGAGCCGTCAGCAGCACGTTACTGCAGCAGCACGTCTTGCTCGTGTGAGCTGCTGCTTGGCCCTTCCCACGAGACGCGAAGCAGCAGGGGAGCAGCTGTCACCGACCGAGCACGAAGTCACACGAGTGACTTCGTCAGTAAACACAACACCAAGCAGGAGAAAACTACAACATGGTTTGTGTTTTATGTTCTGTCCGTTTTATAATCGCCAATACGGACCTGAAAAACAAAGGAGACCGCTAGCTAGGTGATAACTTCTCACGGGGACGCACAGTTAGTAACCTTTTTAAAAGTAAAGCAACCGGAAGGCAGTACGTTCTTTATTCTGAAAATCTCCGGAGCTTCTCCATTTCCGCGTCCAATTTCCTGTCTTTCCTTCCCCAAAAATGTTGAACTTGACCCGTTTCAGAGGCGTCGCGCGTAGAAAATAGAACCGGCGCGTAAAGGCCGCGACATGCTGCTCCTGAGACGCGGCCGACTCGCTCTGCTGACGGCTCCGGTGGAAAAGGTTCGGTTGACCACAGCGGTTCCTATCAGCAGCTATGACGTGCTGCTGCAGTAACGTGCTGCTGCAGTAACGTGCTGCTGACGGCTCCCGTGGAAAGCCGGGGTAAGACTGAGGGAAGGACTCACACACACACACAAATACACATACTGACACACACAAACACACACATACACTGAGCAGGGGAATGGCACACACACACCGAGCTGGGGACAAAGAGGCTGGAGCTACAGAACATGAAGGAAGACCTGGAGGGCTGGGGATGAATGAATGACACAGGACCTGGGAGGAATAGACTTTAAAGGGCTACAAACATAAGACACATAACTGAGATGCAGACAAAGGACACATGAGGGTGCTATGAGACACAGAAGGGAATCTAGAGAGGATGGCGAACACCAGGAGACACATGAAGGAAGAGGCAGACGCAGACCGTGACACATACAGGCACGTGTTAACATGGGGAGGACAGATCAGACCTTTAAAAGGTCTCCTCAGCTGAACCCAGTTCATCACACAGATATTCTGTCATTTTGTTTATTTTTATTACTGTAATATAAATATAATAATCAGCTATTTAAAACCATCTGACTGCAGCCTCATGATGGCTCTGATGTTTGGCCCAGAAGCTGAGATAAAAATAGTCGTTTCTCCCTCCCAGGTGAGCTTGAGGCAAAATTCTGATTTACTCCAAAACAGGAAGTGAGACCTGTTGTATTAACAGCATGAAAATCCTCTCAGAGGCAGGCGTCGGTCCGCTGCTTCGTTATTAAAGAAGAAATATAAACTTTTACATTTGTTCCAGAAAAAACTTTAATATGATAAAGACAGAGGTCCAGGTTTTATGTCTGATTCAAATAATGTTTGCAGTTTGACTTTGTACCATTCACATTAAAATGATAAAATATTCCCAGGTTCTCTGTAAGTTTGTCAAGATTTTATTTCATTAATGTTCCAAACTTTCTGCATCCAAAGAAAACGGAAATGTTTTTCACCTTTCCTGAAACTTTATGGTTTGACGGCGGAGCAGCAGAATGAATCGGCATTGATTTTTAGAAATAGTTTTTAAAAGTCGCAGATCTGGATTTGACAAAATCACAGAATGTAGCTGAGACTGAAAAAACTCTCAAAGATTTAAAAATGTTTGATAAAAAGTTGAAGATTCGGTTAAACGACTTCTTCTTTCAGCACAAACCGTGATGTTTGTTTTGTTTCACATTCGAATTCTGTGCTGCTCTTTCCAGAACTCACCAATCCCTCGAGACAACGCAAACTCTGCCACACCCCTGCACTCATGGGGGCTAAACCCTACCAAGGCAGTCCCCTTCAGGCCAACCCCCCACCTCCCTGCCAGCTCCGCCACCCTGGTGGTGATGAGGGACGCAGAAGCGTGGAAGTACGGCTGACCATCGACACTGAAAGAAGGCCACGGTTGGTCTGTCAGGTGACCAGGCGGGGGGTCTGTCACACTTTCTACATTACAAGCAATTTCAACAGCGCCCTCGTGTGGCAGAGCCAGCACCTGGAGTCCAGGAATGCCCCCGGGGGTGGACTCCCTGATGGCCATGGCGACGCTGCGGCCGATCCTGATGTCCTGGGTGTCGATGGTGACGTTACAGTTCATGACGTATGGGCTGGCTCCGACACCTGCAAACCAAACCAGAAAGAGCCCAAAATGTTTCCACTGAAGTAAGAATCTGGATCCAAAAAGATGAATAATTAAACCTGCTGGTGGTTTAACACACGATAAAACAGCTGATCGTGTTAGAGGAAGGATAAACGACCCGCGCTGGTGCAGCACCTTTCAGAGTCAGAGGACTCCAAAGCACTTTACACTGCAGTGAATCATTCACCCATTCACACACGGGGGGTGCACTGACAGAGGCGAGGCTGCTGACCACTGGTACCACCGGCCCCTCCAACCACCACCAGCAAGTAAGGTGGGTTAAGTGCCTTGCCCAAGGACACAACAGCAGAATTCTCACTCTCACTGATCCCTTCCGACTGCTGTCCCAGAGTCTGGAGCAAGAGAGGAGAGGCCCAGAATCAACGTTGCTTGAGGTCCAGTGTAAAGTTTTTTTTAGACAATTTTTTTAACTATAATAACTTTGTTGTCATTTGTATTTATGTTGGTGAAAGGGAACAGACAACATACGTTCTGCTTCTTCCTGTTCCTTTTTCTTTTCTTTTTTTTTGCAAACCTGTTTCGCGTTTTGTTTTTATTTGTGAATAAATGAAAATAAACTTGAAGGAAAAAAAAGTTGTGATGGTTTGGGTTGCCATGTCCTCAGCTGGCGGCGGTCCAGTGCATTCTCTGAGATCCAAGGTCAACGCAGCCGTCTACCAGGACGTTTTTGAGCACGTCATGCTTCCTGCTGCAGAGCAACTTTATGGAGAAGCAGATTTCATTTTCCAGCAGGACTTGGCACCTGCACACAGTGCCACAGCTACCAGTACCTGGTTTAGGGACCATGGTAAAGTAAATCTATGGGGTATTGAGAAGAAGATGCAATACACCAGATCCAACAGTTCAGAAGAGCTGGAGGCCACTATCAGAGCAACACGGGCTCTCCTAACACCTGAGCAGGGCCAGTCTGATGGTTTCCACGCCACGCCGCATTGCTGCAGTAATCCAGGCCAAAGGAGCCGCAGCTAAATACTGAGGGCTGTACATGCTCGCACTTTCATGTTCGTACTATTAAGTTGGCCAAAATTTCTAAAATTCATCTTCTGTTTTGGTCGTAATTAATATTCCAACTTTCTGAGAGACTGAATTTGGGATTTTCATTAGTCGTCACTTATCATCAACATTAAAGAAATAAACCCCTGAGATATTTCAGTCTGTGTGTAATGACCGGTCCAATATACAAGTTGGACTTTTTGAATGGAATTACTGAAATAAATCTACTTTGTATGATATTCTGATTTTATTTGAACCCAGCAACCGTATGAAGCTGAAATGCTGCTGCTGCCCTTTAGCTTTAGGCTCCACCCCTTAGCCTCACTAATTAGCACTTGCCCTCACCCATTTACCTGCCCCACCCTAAAGTTTCTGATTACAGCGCCTCTTTGCTAACCTGAACTTTGTGAATTTGTTTTCGTTGTTATTTTTTAAGTTTCAGACGTGTTTCTGCAGCTCCGCACGTTCGGTTCACTCCTTCAGCTCCCATCCAAACCCAGATCTCAGCCAACAGAGACCCTTCCATCGATACCCATCTGTGACACCTCACCTGTAAGGCCGTATCGTTTCTGAGGCTGTGGCCCAAAGTCAGGTCTGACCGCCAGCAGGTCAGGTGTTTTTTTGAACCAACCCATCTCCTTCCTCCTCTGAGCCAGCCCTCGCTGTGAGGGGGAGTCTGCCCAGCCGAACAGGAAGGCGCTGGAGCCCCGGACCCTCTCTGTGAGTCCTTGAGCCACAGCTGAGCCAGAGACAGAAATGGTAAAGTTGACAAGCAACCAGAACAAAATCATCACGTGCAACTTTAGAAAAAATAATGGTTAGACCAAAGTCACTGGAGGATAAATCAGCCAGATGAAAGTGTGGATTATCACAGGAACGTATACTCACAGAGTTCCAATTATAATCCTGTGATCACACTAAGCTAATTAATACTCTTTATACTGCAGGCAACACACACACACACACACACACACACACACACACACACACACACACACACACACACACACACACACCATCACTTAGCCATGCGGTCTCAGTCAGCTGTTAGAATGAGACTAATCAACACATAGGATCACGTCTTCGGCTACGATTCTAAAAAAGACAAGATTCATCTTTCAAACATGGAGGTAAAAAATATAAATGTTGCTCATAAATGTCCAGAAGTGATCAAAGCTCAAAAATCTGCTTTATTATTTCTGAAGTGAAAACAAGAATTTATGAGACATCTGAGCTGAGTTGTCATGACCTTTAACCTGCTAACTGAGACCTGTTGAGTCTGAGATAGAGCTGTGTGTGGGTGTGTCTGAGCATTGACCTTTGACCTCTGGGTGAACCTGTTCGATCCTGAGAACATCTTCAGCCACCAGCCCTGTTTTCCACTTGTAAATAATTCTCTCTGTAGAATGATAGAGACTCCAAATGACCTCTGACCCTTCCCAGACTAATAAGCCTATGTGTTAACACGCCTGTATGCTCCAGAGCAGCAAACTGAACTTCTGGTTCTACAGACGATGATGATGATAATAATGATGACGATGATGAGCTGATCAGAATCAGAGGGGATGGACTCACCTTCCTGTTTAGTTCTGGTTTAATAAATATCATGATGAAATCTACAAAAGAACGACTGTACAAAGATGTGGTGGCAGTCTATGGCTTACAGAGAATGATCCCATTACGCATCCTTGGATGAATTAAGCCAGCTAGTATAGAGATAATATAGAGACAGCATTTCTTTACCCGCTAACAGCCTGATGATGAGAAGAAGAGCTGCTCAGAGATGAGGAGAACCCGTGTGGTTCCTCAGGTTGGTTTAGTGGGAGCTGAACTACAGAAATCATTCATAAACACTAGGGCTGCACAATATATCGTAAATATATCGTTATCGCGATATCAGCATGCACAATATGCATATCGCAAAGAACAGATAAATATTGCAATGAATGGTCAGCTCAAATGTTTGCTACCCATGATGCATTCTGTCAGTCAAACGGAAGCATGATGCTTTTTTAACAAATCAAATAGAGCTCTTCACCCATTTGACTAACTGGGTGGGTTCTCATAGGTTAGAGGCCCGCCCCCGAGGCGGACAGCACTTAATGTTGATGGTTAGCGAACACCTGAGTTAGCTTTGTTCAGCTCTTTTTGCTGATTCTGCTTTTACCGTCATCCACTGATCGCCTTTTCTTGTTCATTTTCTTTTTCCCTTTCCTCGCATCTTTTTTTTTCTCATTTTAATGATTTTTTTTTCTTTTTTTGAATATTTTTGTTCCCGAGTTAAGTTTTTATTTATCGCAAGTAATATCATCATTGCAGTATTAATCACTGTTATGGAATATTATAGGTTTTCCTTTTATTGTGCAGCCCTAATAAACACTCAGATGCTGCAGAAGCAGGAGCTAAGATGGATCATTTATTCAAACAGCATCATATTTCTATTGTGTCACAAACTAAACAAAGTGAACTACTCAACAGGAGTATGCAACACTCCTTTTATAGAGTAAATCTAATAAGACCCACTTTTCTGTTGACAAACAAAAGAAACATTAATAATGGCATCCACTTATAAACCAAACATCTCACCCCGAGCCTCCCGAGCACAGTCCTCCATTCCCACTTCCTCCCCCAGGGGATAGATGGGTATGAGGTCGACGGCTCCCATACACGGGTGGACCCCTGTGTGTGTGTGCATGTCGATCAGCTCACAAGCCTTCTGGCTCGCAGACAGAACCGCTTCTCCTGGAACACGTCAAAACCGGCACCATTTAGGCATCAGTGAGGTCAACAGATAAGAACTCAAGATGTCTCCTTACGTAAACGCTCTTCTCTATTTGTAAATCAACTAGAAACTAGATTCAAAGATAGTTTTCTTTGGCCAGAAGACTGGAGACAAGCAGCCGAGTCCAAGTCCCTTGAGAGGAGACACGAGACAAGAGACAGAGAGATGAGTCACTCACTGATGGAGTCAATGGTGGCCACGATAGTGATGACAGAGCGATTGTACTCAAAGTCATTAAAGATGTTCAGCACTGTAGTTTCCTCCCATTTACCACCTGGAGAACAAATAACACCTTTAGACCTGCATGACTGATAACTGATATTCATCACATGTGAGGCCATCGTGGAGGACATAAGTGCTGTTGGTTTGTAGCTCGGAGGGAATCGGTGTCAGAGTCTGGGAACGCTGAGATCACTCAGGGCTTCTACCAGGAAGGCTTAGAGGAACCTGCAGGAGAAGACAGGTGATCTCACCTTCAGAGGTGGATAAAGCTGCTGTGGCTACCGTCTCTACCAGGTGTCTCCTACGAGCTTCAGAAATGTTGAAAGGACAAGCCACCAGATGCCTGGCCACTGCGGACGCCATGTTTCTGTACAAGAAACAATCACATCATTCACATTCCACATAAAGCTGCAGCCATGACACAACCTTTAGATCTGGATAAGGAACCAGAGATTTAAAGACTAAAAATAAAATATATCATCATAGCAGGGTTCTCAAGTACTTTCAAGGTGAGTTTTCAAGGTTTCAAAGCACCTTACTTAACACATTTATTAAACGTACACACTTTAAAATGTCAGTGGGACTAAACAAAGACAGGATTCTCTGTGGAGACTCCATTCATTTTCATCCGCTTATCAGGAGTCGGGCCGCGGGGGCAGCAGCCTAAGGCGAGAAGCCCAGACTTCCCTCTCCCCAGCTACTTGGGCCAGCTCCTCCGGGGGAATCCCAAGGTGTTCTCTGGCCAGGTGAGAGACATAGTCCCTCCAGCGTGTCCTGGGTCTACCTTTAGGTCTCCTCCTGGTTGGACGTGCCCGGAAAACCTCACCAAAGAGGCGTTCAGGAGGCATCCTGACCAGATGCCCGAGCCACCTCAACTGGCTCAGCTCGATGTGGAGGAGCAGCGGGTCTACTCCGAGCCCCTCCCAGATGACCGAGCTTCTCACCCTATCTCTAAGGGAAAGCCCAGCCACTCTGCAGAGAAAACTCATGTCGGCCGCTTGTATCCATGATCTCGTTCTTTCAGTCACTACCCAAAGCTCGTGACCATAGGTGAGGGTAGGAACGTAGATCGACCGGTAAATCGAGAGCTTCGCCTTCTGACTCAGCTCTCTCTTCACCATGACAGACCGGTACAACGCCCGCATCACTGCAGATGCAGCACCAATCCACCTATCGATCTCACGCTCCAGCTTTCCCTCACTTGTGAACAAGACCCCGAGATACTTAAACTCCTCCACTTGGGGCAGGACTGTGGCAACTCCTGAATGGAAAAACCTAAAGAGAAGAAGTAAAGTAAGGATTTTCAGGAGTTTTATGTTTTCATCACAACCCATGAACAACTCCGCTGGCTTCTGGTCACGTTCAGAACCACTTTAAACTTCTATTCACGTTCAACGCCATCCAACCTTGCTCCTCTCCATTTGTGTGACCTCATCAACATTGCTACCTGATAAAATTCAATGTGTAAAACTGATGAGTTAGTGCTATTTTTGTGTTTTATGAGGTCAATAGGCCCCTCCCCTTTCCTTCGACTCATGGGTCTCTGAACAGGGCTATAACAGCCATTTTCTAATCCACTTAGCCTTACACCCTGGATCACACACGTTGTACTTCACTTTAAATGAAAAGTAATGACGTGAGTTTTGACTATGCCCATCACGTAAGCCGAGAATTATTAGCTTTTAAAAGTTGGTAAGTAAAACGACTACAAATCAGACATGTCATATATGACGTCATAGCAGAAACTCTTTTCCTCAGCGTAGCTGCTACTTACCTCATGACCAGATTTATAGTGGTTTCTCTCCACGTTTAGGTAAGCTTTGTTCATTTTAACAGTTTAACGTTCCTTCTGTCGTCCTGGAAGAAGGATGTGAAACTCGCTAAACTCACAGCCATCTTACTTCTCTTCTCTGTGTCAATTTGGTGAGATGATCAGGTGGAGTGCTCTACGTCTTTTCACACAAAACCTAAAATAACTTTCGCCACCTGTCAACAGCAAGCAAATTCTTGGACCAAAATGTGTCTTCAAAATTCAATGGACATCATATGCAAAATCCATGGCACATGTCAAACGAGATCAAAAATAACTTTAATCCTCTCATAGACTCCCATTCATTTTCTTGGCAGAAGGGGACCCACTAACGTAGGTGGGTGTGTGACTTATGCTCATTATCTGTGGCCATCTTGAATGAGCTGCTGATGGACATTCAAAAATGTATTTATGAAACTTTTATTAATATCTTGTGATTCTGCAGCAAAAGCTAATAAAAGCTGCAGCTGATTGACAATAAACAAGATAAATGATGAACTGCCTGTTTATTAAGTGCCTTCCACAAAATGTGCTGTGCAACAATAGAAATATAATATAATATAATATAATATAATATAATGAGTATAGTAAGACTGGTTTTGGTTTCTAGCCTAAAAACTAAACGTGAGGGAAAAAAAATGTTTGAAACGGGGGGGGCGAAAGATGGCGCTCTGAGTAGCATGTCCGTCTAGGAGCTCTCACTGTTTCCCTCGAAATTGCAAAGTAAATAGCCTTTTTACTCTCATTCAGTTGGCTAAAATATTGTCGCTTGAGGAGTGAAGTCATCTTATGCATTTATGAGCTTAAAGGATCACGCTTACTGTGTGGAAATGTCGGGTGAAAAGTCCGTGAGCGGGAGCAAACGTGTTGCGCCGCCGACTACTCCTAACAAGCCTCAGGTGCAGTCCAAGAAGAAAAATAGGACAGAGGAGGATAAAGAAACAGAAGATGGGGACTCTACACTGATAAAGATTCTAAATGCGGTAACCAACCTGTCTGACAGATTTGATATGCAAGAAAACAAGCTGGAAAGTTTAGCCACCAAGATGGAGGAACAGCATAGCATGCTAACGGAGCTAAAGAAAGAAGTCGCGGAGAATAAGTGCAAAACAACGCTGCTGGAAAGTGAACTGGTTAAAGTACGCGAGGAGTTGCTTGCAACAAAAGAAAAGTGTAAGGAACAAGAACGATATAAGAGGAGATGGAACCTACGACTTAAGGGTGTAAGTGAAAAAGACAACGAAGACATAAAAGGCACGGTAACTGCTATTCTGAACAAAATCGCCCCGGGAGTCCCGTGGAGCTTCCAGGATATGGTGGATACGGTGCATCGTATCGGGAAAAAAGATGCTCTCCATACAAGGCAAGTAATTATTCAGTTCGTGAAGAGAGAGTGCAGAGACCTCATCTGGAAGCTTTCCAAGAACTGTGATGTATGCAAGAAAAATGGTCTAAGATTTGCAGAAGATCTGATTCAGGAAGACAGAGAAGCGAGAAGGCTGCTGTGGCCGAAGGTGAAGGAGGCACGGGAGAAGAACAAGAGAGCATACTTCAGAGGACCGTTTGCATTTATTGAAAACACCCAGATCTTCCCCTGAAGAAGGAGATGGGGACGGCTTTCCGAATGAGTGGCGAAGTCATTTAGAGGGACAGTTCTACTAGTCACTAAGCTAGTTTTCTTTGGTGAAATCTTACATTCCTGTTATATCTAATTTAGGGTTTGTTTGTTGTTTATCTATTTATTTGTTTGTTTTTTTCACGTTTTTGCTTTTTGGGTTTAGATCTGTTTTGAATTCCTTATGAGTTCAAGAATATCTTTTATTTCATTAAACGCAAGAGGACTAAAGGACATTACCAAAAGAAAGGCATTATTTCTATTCTGTAAGGAACAAAAAGCACAAGTTATATTTCTTCAAGAGACTCATTCGTGTGAAGACGACAAGGCGTTCTGGAAGACTCAATGGGGGGACAGCATCCTTCTTAGTCATGGATCCAACAAATCTGGAGGGGTGGCGATCTGTTTTAACAACTATCCGGGTAAGCTTGTGGAATATAAAGCAGACTCAAAGGGTCATTGGATAGTTGCTGTTTTGAATTGTGAGGGTGTTTTGTGGATTATTTGTAATGTTTACGGATATAATTTGATTACAGAAAACAAAATATTCTTAAATGAAATTTCAAAAATTATTGGAGAATCTAAAGTTAAATATCCAACAGATAATATATTGGTTGGTGGGGACTTTAACTGTGTTCCTGATGAATGGATGGATAGATATCCCACTAAATTCTCTACACATGTTTATAATCCAACATTGAGAAGTTTTTGTGTAAACAACTCGCTATCAGACGCTTGGAGACATATTAACCCGTGTGTTAGACAATTTTCATGGATACGTACAAATGGTAATAATAAGTCAAGAATTGATTTATGGCTAGTATCTCAAGCTATTTTAGACCAGATCTCTCTTGCTGAAATATCGGCAGCCCCTGTTACGGATCATTGTGTAGTTTCTATAAACTTAATTCCTAAGACAGGAAATATAAGTAGAAACGGATACTGGAAATTTAATGCGTTATTTTTGAATGATGAGGAATACTGTAAAATGATTAAGAAACTATTATTGTCTGTCATAGAAAATCCTCATCTTGATTCTGCAGGGAAGAAATGGGAATTTTTCAAATATGAAGTCAGAAAATATTCTATTAATTATGGTAAAGAAAGGAGGAAAAACAATAAAGAAACAGAAAGACAATTGTTTAGGGATTTGAATAAACTTTGCGGAGATTGTACACTTTCAGATACGAATAGAGAGAAATATTTAAAACTTCAATCAAAACTGGACGAGCTTTATTTAAATAAGGCTAAAGGAGCTTTCATTCGGTCAAGGGCAAAATGGATAGAAGATGGAGAGAGGAATAGCTCATATTTTAGTAAATTAGAGAAAAATAGACAGACAAAAAATGCGATAAATTCACTAAATATTAATGGTAAGTTAATTAAAGATCAAAGAGAAATTTCAGTCAGTATTTATAATTTTTACCATCAGTTATACTCTTCTCACTTTAAAGAATTGGATTCCATAAAATTCTTTAACTACATTGAAAGGTTTATCCCTCAAATTAATTTAGAATTTAAAGAAGAATGTGATATGGATTTGAATATTTCTGAACTTGACAAGGTGATTCAAAAGGTAGCACTGGGTAAGTCTCCTGGCCAGGACGGTCTAACCACAAACTTTTATAAATTCTTTTGGAAAGATATTAGAGAGCTACTATTTGAAGTTTTACAAGAATGTATTCGGAATAATTCACTCTTAACTACGATGAAACAAGGAGTAATAATACTGATACCTAAACCCAACAAAGATAAATCTAATATTGATAACTTAAGACCTATTACATTGCTGAATGTGGACTATAAATTATTCACTCATACACTGGCTAACAGATTAAAAAATGGAATAAATGATTTCATTAGTGAAACTCAATCAGGTTTTCTTCCAAATAGACATATTCATGACAACATCCGTCTGATTCTTGATTTATTAGATTATGAAAATTTGGTAGAAGAGGATGGGGCTATACTGTTCTTAGATTTTTATAAAGCTTTTGATAGCCTCGAACATCATTTTATTATAAAGTCACTTCAGCACTTTGGGTTTGGTAAAAAATTCATTGATATTATTACATTCCTATACAAAGATATATCGAGTGCAGTTCTTCTTTCTTCGGGTACGACAACCAGATTTCCAGTTAATAGAGGAGTTAGACAAGGAGATCCTATTAGTCCACTTCTTTTTATTATAGCAACAGAAATGCTGACTTTACTAATTCAAAATGACCAATCAATTAAACCGTTAACAGTGGCAGGACACTCGCTTAAAATAATTCAACTAGCAGATGATACTGCATTATTGTTAAATAGTACCAAGGAAATTCCTAATGCCATGAAAACGCTGTCTTTGTTCTCACAAGCCTCAGGTTTAAGGTTGAACGCTAACAAATGTGAAATATTAACAATTCATGATACTGAGGAGTTTCATATTTGCGATATCCCTATTAAGAATGAAATTAAGTATTTGGGTATGAAGATTAATAAAATCTTTAAGGAGAGAGTGGATAACAATATTCAACCGATAATTAATAAAAATCAAAAGATTCTAAATAGTTGGCTCCAAAGAAATATATCAATTTTTGGTAGAATACTTTTAACAAAAATGGAGAGTATATCTAGATTAATCTATCCTGCTTTTTCAGTAGCTATCCCTGACCAATATGTTAAGAGAATAAATAAAACACAATATGATTTTATTTGGAATAATAAACAACATTTGATTAGGAAAAACGATCTAGTAAAACCTATAGAAGAAGGAGGTCTGAAAGTCATTGACTTTGAAGTAATGAATGGAGTTATTAAATTACAATGGCTAAAAAAAATTTTAATTAAGAAAGATTCTATCTGGTTTTGTATTCTTTCATTTCTGTTTGAGAAGATTGGAGGTATAGATTTTCTGTTAAAATGTGATTTTGATCCTCTTAAATTACCCATCAAACTTTCTAACTATATTAAACAAGTGTTGATGTACTGGAAAATGATCTACTCGCACAACTTTAGCCCACATTCCTCCTCTATATGGAATAACAGATTTGTTCTGTATAAACGGAAATCAATGTATTATAAAAGCTGGATGGATAAAGGAGTTTGGGCCATAATGCAGCTGATGGACAGTAAGGGTAAGTTTCTGGAGCATACTGAGTTCAAAATTAAGTATAATATAGACTGTTCTGTAGTGGAATACTCTAGAGTTATAAAGGCTATTTCTCCAGCTGTTGGCCAGATGGTCAGTCAAAGTATTCAACATGGAACAAATACACCTAAGCTTCCCAAATTATCTATAGGTGATTTGAGTTTTACAGACCGTAGATGTAATAACTCTTACCTAAGAGCAGTCTTGTCAAACAAGTTATTCCCTATTCCTGTCAGAAGGAAAGTTCTTTCTCCGATTTTCTCAATTATAGATACTAAAGTCATAAGAACAGAGTTTCTTTCTTACCCTCTTCTCCCCAAAATGAAGGAAGTTCACTTTAAAACAATTAATAATATATATCCATGTAAAGAATTTTTAAATATCAGATTTAATATACAAGATAATTTATGTGTCATATGTAATAGTGAAATTGAAACTCAGAAACACCTTTTCTATGATTGCAGATCGGTAAATACATTTTGGTCAGATTTATACAATTGGCTTTTATTCAAAAAGAGTTACAATATCCCCTTATTCACATATAATACTATTCAATTTGGGTGTATAGAAAAAAATAATCAGATTCAATTCGTTGTTAACAATTTGATAATTTTTGGGAAATTTTTTATTCACAAATGTCGTTTCATGAAAGTGAAGCCAAACTTTCCTTTTTTCCAAAACGATTTTATGCTATTTTGCAAATCTCTTAAAAAAGTAAAGTCTGTACAGGCTGCTACACTTGTCAGATTTAGTGAAGATCCTGTGAACTAAGGTCCTCTGCCTTTAAATATGTATTTTTATTATTGTGTTATTATTAGTAGTATTAATATTAATATTGTATTTATTTTATTTTTATTTCTTTATAGTGTCTTGTTAATCTTATAACTCCGGTTGTTTCTGCTGATTAGAATATTTCTAATGGTCAAGTTATAAGGTTTTGGGTTATCTACTGAATTGTTCTTTTTGTTTTTGTTGAGTTTTTGGTTGTTGTTACAATGTAATGTGATTGATGTTCAATAAAAAAAAAAAAAAAAAAAAAAAAAAAAAAACTAAACGTGAGGGAAAGGATATTTCCGGGTGGGCCTGAAGGCATCAGGGAACTGTTACAGTGACATCTGGTGGCTGGAGGAGGTATTGCTGTACAGCGGTGAGAGCACTGGGGCAGATAGTTTGATTTTGTGGGAATATTTCCAATTTAAAACGGTCAGAAACCTCAAATTATATATTTAAATAAACTTTTAAACTTGCAAATTCATCACATTATGGTCCCTTATTGATTTAATTATTACAGGACTCCCTCGGGTTGGTGCACTAAAATCGATAAAATTTCCATATTTGTTGAGAAGAGCTATGAAACAGTCACTCTCAAGGTTTAAGTTTATAACTTATCCAAAAAAACATTACAGATGTACTGATTCGTTCAACAAGATTCTGCTGTCTCGTTTACCTTCCAGTGCTCCAATTCATAGTTACAGGTCCAACTGGGAGGAAGCAGGAATTTTTCTGGGCTGGCACAAACTCGGTTTAGGCATCGGTTTGAAGTCCAAACCCATGACTTTACTTACACCAGCTTGAGTCGACGCTTCACGCACGTGGATGTGCAGCCAAAGAATGGAAGGGTCAGGGCAAGATAGTTCACTCCTATAGTTTATTTTCTTTGAGTTGTTCCGCCTTGGTCAGCAGCATTTCAAAACTGGCATCACTTGGAGTTTTATATCGTCATAAAAATCGTATTACTTTCTTTCTAATAGCAGAGGTGGGTTTCCATATAAGAGAGGAAAAAAGAAATCAGGAAATGTGGAAGTATATATATATATATATATATATATATATATATATATATATATATATATATATATACGTATATATATACGTTTTCTTTCTTTCTCGGGATCCACTGATTTCCCTTTCCTATTCAGTTTCTCTCCCTTTCTTCACGTGGTTTTTAAGTCACAATTTGAATTTTTTTCACATTTTAAACATATTTTTAATAATTAAATCTTTTTTATACTTTAATTTTTATTTTTTTGTGAAGCGCCTCGTGGTTTTATTCTTAAGAGGCGCTTTATAAAAGACCGTTTTCTTTCTTCTTTCTAAATAAAAGCGGAAGTACTAGGAAGAGTACTCTCTGTTAGCCTCACATTTTGGAGGAAATTTTAATGTTCTTTTAAATAGCGCCTCCTGGCGGTCATGAATATTAACAAACTATCTTTTTTTTAATCAATAATAAGCCACAGTGTGGTGAGAATAATGCCCGGGAAAGGCGCGCAGTTATAAATATTGTGTTATTTGGACACAATGAGACGTTGTCATGAGGCTAGCTACAGCAGCTTTAGCATAGAAGCTAGTTTACTGCATCATGTCGTGGCTGCGTAGGCAACTCTGAGTCCATGTTATCCGCCAGAGCACTTAAGGTGGTGGGCTTCACGTTGATAACTGCGGCCAAAGCGATGAGCTCCGAAGCGGCGACGGGTCCATGCGAGCTCCAGGTCTCGGGGAACCAGCGAAAGCTGCAGAGGTTGCTCGCGGTTCCGGGCTGCGTTCTGAACCGAGAGAACGACCTGCTGCTGCTGCGGCCCGACACCGACGGAGAAAGCTGCTCGGAGGCGAAGAAGAGCGATAACAAGCATGTTGTGTTCTTCCATGGAGACATCCAGGTGAGGGTGACGGACAGGTGTGTGGCTGAGTTTTCCGGAAGTCCCTGGAGCCCTTAAAGTAAAAAGTTCTAGAGCAATTTCGAAAGGTACCAACGTATGAATTCCATCATCTTTGTGATAACCAACACTGGGATTTGTGTTTGATGTTTAAATTGCATGAGAACCAAGGCCAACCAAAATGTTAAAGCTGCAGCTAGTGACTCATTAATGTCACCATAGTAACCACATAACTCAGTGACAGCAAACATGAGAAGTAGACTAAAAAATAAGCATCAGACACACAGATGCTGTGTGAAAAAATACTAAACTGTCAAAAATGTTCTTTAGTTTAGAGCGAAAATATTCCAGAAGTCCATTAGAGCCTGGCTGTTGACTCGGAGGGGACACTAGAGCAGAGACGCAGCAGGTGGAGGAGTCCGACACCAACGTTCTAAGACCTCATCTTTATACACGTGGGGGGAAGAAACACAACTTTCTGGGAAAATCGTTTTAAGCTAGTTCAAAAGTAAAAATGACATCATTAACGGTCAGATTTTCTGTGATCATAACACAAACTGGGATTGTGTAAAATCCACCAAAGACCAGTTTGGTCATATGAAGTCTAGCTTCCTGTGGCCCTTTTAAATTCTGCTTCAACTGAGAGGTCTACCTGAGCTCCAGAGGGGGCGGGGCATGCTCACCTGTCTCACCAAAACCCCATTGTCTATAGTAAAAGTCTTATGGAGTTATTTTATGTGTTTATGCATTATTTCCACATTGTTTCTTATATGCAGGAAGGAAAAACAATCACAACATATCAGAATTGGTGATAATAATCAGAACTTGTGCTTCGGCACCATTAATAATGCAGAGAATAACTGATGATGTTGTAACTGATGCTATGATGCAACAACACCTGAACTCTGACATCAGAGATCTGTTTTTTGTTGACTGGGTTAAATAAAGACATCATTTTGTACAGATTCCCACTGGCACATTAGATTCTTCTGATTAATCTTTGTTGAATTAAATGTTTTCCTTGAAATCTAAATGGTAAATTTAATGAATCCACACATATTTCTTTGATCTCTTTGCTTCCAATAGTCCAAAAATGGCCCCGCTTTCCTTTATTCACAGATTAACAAACGCCTCACCCATTTATTCAGCTCATTAGACGATTCTGCAGGCGAGTCCCGACATTCCCACAGTGTCCTGGTGTTTCCCAGGAGACCTTTGTCTGATGGGGATGCGATGGCTCTGACGTTTGCATGTAAATAAAATGAATCGGGTCATTGTGTTCAGTGTGACAGGGCTGTGAATGAGACCAATGAAATGGGTCAAACATAACGGATCGTTGCACCCTCACCAGAACATGAACACATCTAGATGTTTGGCCTTAAGGGATTTTATTTCAGACTAAACGCCACCCGTCATGCTAACAGTTGTCCATGGTTTTATTGCGCCGTCTAAAGCAGGAGTGTCCAAAGTGTGGCCCGCGGCCCGTTTGTGGTCCTCAGCTGCAGCTCCAGATTTCTGCTCGTGCTGCTTTTCCTCATCAGCATCAAACCAGTTGGTTTCAGAGCCCCACCAGCAGGAGGCTGCTGCTGCATTGCGTTCTGGGACCTGTAGTACTGCAGTAATGAAGCATAGCAAACACAAGGACACGGACTGTGTTCTAGTGATGGGACGTTCAGGAATGAATCAAATCCTTTGATCGGCTCTTCAAAATAAATGATGAGGACCAAGTCTTTGTAGAGAACAGTTCTGTGGTAAACAACTCGAGTCACAAGTCCCATCACTATTGTTTCACACGTATGTTAGAAGCTGTGTGCTAGAAGGTCTCGCGTATGAAAAAAAAAACATTTTGTTTTCCCGTTCACTTCCATTTCCTCACACACCCTGAGGTTATTCCTGTGTGCAGAACTTCCAGGAGGAGATGCTCCTACAGCCAGACGCAGCCCAGTGGGCTTCCTGGAGTCTGGAGCAGGTGGCCCTCGTTCTGGGCCGACGTTTCCCCCACAGGTTCATCTGGGTTGTGAGGGCCTCCCGCATCTATCTACACAAGTTCAGCTGCTACCAGAACTTTGTGGAGAGCAGCATGTTCGGTGCGCCGGAGCACGGGCCCTACTCGGCTGACTGCGGAGCTTTTTGCCAACTCAGGTTAGTTTTCTTCTTTAAACGTGAGAAATCCTTAACTTACTCTAAAACAAACCGTGTCCTGGTGACTAGCCCGAAGGTCCGAACAGAACTGGTCCATTAGTGCAGCTCCGGCTCAGCCCTCCAGTTTTTGTGCCTGACTTGGTCAAAGGTCAGAGGTGACACTAAAGTTCACAGAAAAACTGTGGAAGATCTTCAGAAGGTCTGGAAAACTGATCCAGGACCATTCCCAACAGATCACAGTGTCTGGCTGCTGGGAAGGATCCAGATTTGTTGTACATAACCCCAAATGACAGATTTAACTGATTCTGACCCGATTCTGCCCACAGGGCCCTGCTCAGTCACGGTATGGACCGCGCCAAACTACCCAACCCTCTTCAGCCAGCAGGAGGAGCCGACCCTGGGTTCTCCCTAATCCTGGTGGGCTTCAGCAAAGGTTGTGTGGTTCTGAACCAGCTGGTGTACGAGCTCCGCGGGGCTCGCTCCGACCCGCAGATGTCCACCTTCGTCAAACGAATCTCAGACATGTTCTGGCTGGACGGGGGACACCCGGGGGGCAGCGAGACCTGGGTGACAGACAAGGAGGCCCTGAAGGAGCTTGGTGCCAGCGGTGTGTCGGTTCACGCCCACGTGACTCCGTACGAGGTGTGTGACCCGATGCGGGCCTGGGTGGGCCAGGAGCACCAGCACTTCATCAAGATTCTGGAGGAGTTTGGGTCGTGTCCCAGTAACAAGCTGCACTTTGAAGACGAGCCCGCCTCCATCGAGAACCACTTCAGGGTCATCCTGGAGTTCTGAGTTTGGGTCAGAACGACCTCCTGAGTGCTTTAGGTTATTTATTACCGGTTCCGAGTCCTACTGGACCACGGTGGTCTGTCGTCAGGGTTCCTGCTTCTAAAGAAGAGCTTAAATCAGCACAAGTGAGATAAATCATTCCTGAAATCATCTTTAACATGAACTGTTCGTGTAAATGAAACTGGATTCTGTTGGTTCAAAAGCCCCTGAACCTTCTTTTAGTTGATTGTAATTCATCAACTTTTCCTTTAATCATGAGTGGAACCAGGCTTACCTTTCTACAGATGTGCGCACGCTGTGGGTCAGACGGCTTTCAGCTGCAGCAGAGCTAATATTATTATTAAGGGTGAGGCGAGAGCTCTGATGGTTCTGCAGGCATCTGGCTGCTACGCTCTCTGCTGAATGTAACTTCTGATTCATTCCTTCACGTTTACGCCTTCAGGCTCATCTGCATGTGAAAACCCTAGCCATCCTGTGGACGTCCGACCGGAGACAAACACAAGAAGAAGTCTTTTCTACAACCTTTAATGAGCTTTTCCAGCTGCCTACATATTAGCCCGCCGTAGAGCACAACAACAATTATCTCAAGCATTTCAGATGCATTTAGAACGCTCATCATGAATAAAAACACATAAAGCAAAAGCAAGGTGTTTCGTGTCTGCTTCGACTCAAACAGGAATGTTGGGTGACATCAGCGCGCACGCACACACACAAACCCTGGTCCTCAGATTTCATAGTTTAACTCTACAGGAGCCCGCTGAAAGACACCGTGTGAAGAGGTAAAAGTGAAGATTCAAGCTGGTTTTCTGCCCACAGCAGCCGAGCGGGTCGACAGACTCGCTCAAATCCCTGAAGAGAAAAATCTTTTCCAGTGTGGTGTTCCAGTTTTCAAGGATGACAGCACCGAGATGAGCGTGACTGGAGATGCCAGTCTCCCCGCACAAAGCTTATTGTCTCTCACACTCACACACACACACACACACACACACACACACACACACACACACACACACACACACACACACACACACACACACACACACACACACACACACAGTTCTGAAGGCCACGAGCAACAGGACCTTCAGCAGGGTGACGTTTACTCCGTCTGTTCTCACATCTACAACTTTAGTTGTCTCCTTCTCCACGTCCCCGTCTCCATTAAACACCAAGCCTTAAAGGAATATTCCCAAAACTTTTCCTTTACATTTTTCCCACATCACGTCTCCCGCTCCGATTTAATCCTCACGTCTCGTCTGTTCCCACATTCGCTTCACTTCCTTTTTCCATCCTAAAGGAGAAACAGTCCAGTCTTCCAGGTAATCCTTTCATCACATCTGACACCAGTTCTGTTTTATATCCTGGATCATGTGACGGTGAGCTGGGGCCACTGGGCGGGGGGGGGGGGGGTGGGCATGAGAAAGTCAATGTGCTACTTCAGGATAAACAGCAAAAAAACGTTTTTTTTTTAAAGGAAAGAATCAAAAATGAACCAGCAGAGACCTACAATACCCATAATGCCTTGTGGTAAGGAGACTTCATACATCAGAACACTTGGCTCTTCCTAGAGCCGGATCCAGCTGCTCTGAAGGTCTAAAGCTGGAGTTTCACCACAAAACAATAATTATAATAAGTAAACTATCTTAAACTCCGCAGTAATTATGTTTAAGACTCTTATTGTGAAGGATTCCAGGAAGTTCTAGCGTTCCTCTGAGTAAAAATCTTGAACTGATTCACCAGAACCTTCAGTTACAGTAATAATAACAGAATAAATACAGTCGGCCTTCATGAATCTTTTCTTCTTAACATTTTGATTTAAACATCTGGGAAACTAAACCCTAACCGTTCCTGGCTGGAAGCCGCGTGG